TACTTTGAAATAAACAATGAAGACCACCAACGCCGGAAAAAGTAAACAAAAAGTCTAAATGCATAATCATCAGACTGAGAATTCTCCTCGGATACTCTTGACTCGTTCCTTCCAACCATTTCTGTCAGACATCGGTGTCAACAGGTTCTTCAGATGGCATCCAGAGCCATCTACAAGTTGGTCAATGTAGGTGTGATGAGGTCTTCCAAGCGATCTTTTGCCGTGCAATGAGTTCCATAGGAGGATGTCACTCACAAGTTCTGACTTAATTCTCCAGGAGTGACCAGCTAGCCGAAGCCTTCTCTCTCTCTCAGTGAAACTGAGATTGGAGGAAGGTGTCCATACAGGCTTTTCTTTGTTAGGTGTTTCTTCCAGCTGATGTCCAATGCAATTCGCAAAATCCTTCTGTAATGTTTGCTTCTTGGTGTTTCGTTAGTGCTCATGTTGTTGACCATAAGAGCTAGACAGATTTTACCGTGGCCTTATCGAACTGCACAAGTTGCTCTCAAAGAACTATATGACTTGAAACAACCAGCATTCATAGAAGCCAAAATAAATATTATCGCGAATGCATCTGTAAACAAGCAATGACTGCATGGTAACGGAATGAAATCAGTGGCCGAAAAAACTGTAGCATAGTCAAGATAAAGCCTATTGGTTAAAATGAGAGGATTAGCAAATGAAAAACGCACTTTGATGACCTGCTTGGCAAGCCTCCCAAAATTACAGAGGAGTTTGATTGATTTGAACCTTTTAGAACCCTTTATTCTACATTCCATACCATCGCTTGATAAGACACCAGAAGTGTTCAAACAAAATGGCTATTTTTGTAGTGATTTTATAACATGTTTTATAATTTGCTATTAAACTATATATATATATATATATATATATATATATATAGAGAGAGAGAGAGAGAGAGAGAGAGAGAGAGATAACGACCAGATGCAGATCGAATATGGATAAGATATAGAACAAATAGAAATAAATTATCAATCTATCACGTTTCACTTTATTAAAGTTTCGTCAGAGAGCGAGAGAAAAAAGACAAGACGAAACTGCCGAATAAACTGCATAAAGTTAATATTTTGTTCTCTTTTTATCTCTTTCGATCTCCACAATTATTATAAAGAAGCAGATACATATTTTTTATTCAATATTTTGTTAACTGTATTTTGAAATTCGTGGTAAAGTAAAAGTAAAGACACCCTCCATCTGTATTTTTTAATGCATGGTCATTAGCATTCGCTTTTCCTGAAGTGTCCATGAAGTCCACGGAATCTTCAGATTCCGCCTATATAACCATATTTCTTCTCCCTATTTCTTCTTCCTTTTGTCGAATATTCTGCGACTAAACCGGCTAACGAACTATGTGAGGCGTTTGTTAGCAACCCTGTTGGGTGAAAAATTAAACCTGTCAAAGAGAGGAAGATATCTTGACGAATCAGCGTCCAGATAAATAGAGGTTGTGTCTCAATAAATCGCTGTGGAGAAGGCAACATGACACCACTCCACTATAAATCTTAAGAAATATCATGGCATTTATCAAACGATTCCCATTACCTTTACAATAACATTATGTCAGAATTGCTAAATGCGTGGTAGCCGAATACATTCTGCAAGACATTATTCGCCAGGTCTATATCGTACTCGTAAATGACCATCGCTTTCCTAGACATAAAAAATGATTCCATCATTGAACGTTGAAAAGCATTCATCGATCTCCCAGATGAATATCTTGCCGGGTCAGAGAGATATGAATGTCGGAGTTGTAGCCTAAGTGGATATCTAGCTCGTCCTGCTAAAAGTGAACGATTCCAAACATTTCCAATTGATACTCACTTAGTACATTTTATTTTAATCTATACTGTGGATGAGGTGTGGCCTACCACTCACATATTACATCAACCACGACGAGCGTTTATTGATTGCTTGGTTGATTTTGCTAGTGGCATATCAAACTTTATGGGATATTTAACGAAATTGTATTTATTTATTTTCTTGGAGGTAATAATCCTTTCAGTGATACAAGTCTTACTAATTAACCCATATCTGGATATTCTCAAAGGTGCATGTGTTCAGTTGAATTTAACGAACCCAACTGAAATTGGAACTCAGCTTTACGATTAACAATATTAATCGAGTATTGCTACCATATCTGGACTGGAGCTTCTCAGCCCTTACTTTTCACCTTTGACAGAGTTCAGAAATCACTTGTGGATGATGGATTATTTTCCACCCTACAACCCCTTTCTGCAAAGAAGAAAAGACTCTAGTCCGGGGTATGACGGTAAACTATATGGCTGCAAGGCTTCTGATTGAGAGATGGGATATTTTGAGGAGCGTGGAACCACTTCTTCATTGCTGTTCTTTCCAGATCCATTCTGGCCCGGAGTGGTAGCACCTGTTAGGGTCCAAGCTATGGGAAAATAATGAAACCAAAACAAAATACTATGAAAGTATATAAAGAAATTATAGAGTAAAATTTACCAGCAATACAATTTTATAATAAAATGACAAACTATACATATTTATAGTAAAATGAGAAACATTACATATTGATAGCAAAACGACCAACAATATATTTTATCTGTAGTTGAAAGTAAACAATTTCGTTCGAAATATATGTAGGTGAAGCCATAAAATTGTGTTCAAAATATTTAGATTTCGGCGTTAAATAACCCATAGAGATGTTGATATGCTACTAAACAAAATCAACTAACCAAACGAAAAGTCGCAAGCCATTCTTTGCCCTCTCTCTATCCCTGGGAAATGTTCGGACAAGCTACGTGTCTATTATCCTCGAGTTCATATATTTAAAAAATAACGCTCGCCATGTCATGTCCACATCCTTGAATGATTCATATTTCTTTCATATTTCATTACTGGGAAGAAAGTTTCGTTCGGACTGCTCCTTTCCTAGAACATTTGAAATTTTTAAACTTGACTTTGTTCATGTTTAGATTGGAGTCTCTAGATAAAAGTTGGCCGTGTTTATATATGAAACTTTATTTAAACATTGGACTTGTTCAGTCTAGGTTTTTTTTTTTTTTAAATTAAAATATCAAACCACAGGAAATGTTAATATCCGTTTCCTAATTCTACTTCGAGGTAAGTCCTGGATATGATGATAAACTACATCCATCAGTAACGGGGAGATTCAGAGTTTTGAGGAGCTTGGAACCATCTATTAATAGTTGTTATTCCTAGGTCCACTCTGATACGGGGAGGTAGCACCAGTTAGGTACCGATCTATGGGAAAATAGTAAAGTCCCAAGCAAAACACGATGAAATAATAATAATGCATTTTATAGCGAAAATACCAGCAATACATTTTTATATAGAAAATGACCAACATTAGATATTTGTAGTGAAATTACCAACAGTACATTTTATCTGTAGTTAAAGGCATACAGATGCGTTCCAAATATTTAGATTTTGACATTAAATAACCCATAGAACTGTTGATATGCCGCTAAACAAAATCAATCAACAAAAGTAAATTATAACTTCAACAAAACTACAAACATGTGTCTGAACAAAAGCTGAGCATCCTCTACCATGTATACAGTTGCGAAAACAGAATAACATATATCATATTTTTATTACTTCAAAGCTTCTCAGAAAATTAAATTTCGGCATCAGATGAACCATAAGGAGTTGATATGCCGTTATATATATATATATATATATAAACCTTTAGGTGCCACGCCATTTCTCGACATGGACGATCGTGGCTCTCCAAATCTTCCTATCCGTTGTGGCTCTCAAATGATTTTCTTCCTTTGCCAATGCTCCCTCCCGTTCTACTATCTCATCAGGTAGGTGACCGCTGCTTTTCTACTTAACCTCATTATTCTTTGTGCAGATTAAGTTTTCAAAGTCCTCCTTCCTCACAAAGTGTCGAATGAATTTCAGCTGCAACTTCCTGATTCTGATTAGAAGAGTTCTTTCTGTTGCCTGTTTCTTTAATACTTCTTTGTTGCTTATTCGCACCTTCACTGGAATTCTCAATATCATTCTGTTGTGGTACGATTCACCTAATTTACATAAGTGGAGTACCGACCATATAAATATGGGTTGGTACCGGGAAGACGATGGAGGGAGTAAGAAGAGATGCAATCCAGAGACTCTGCCCGACTGCGACTAAGTCAACCCATTCTACAGGAACGGTCTTCCCAAGAATATACCAAAACTAACTGTAAATATTGTGTACCTTTTCCTTGTTTCAATACATTTTGTTTACTTACATTTTGTGTTGTATTATTATTATTATTCCATGCTTATCCAAGCTTCAACACATTCTGTAGAACCATATTTATTATTGACATTATTTACATTGCTCGGACTGTTGTCCTCATCTTTATTGTCATATTCACGACGTCTCGGCCGTTGTACGTTCCGGCCTTGTTCAGGTAATTGGAATTTCGAACTGAACTCTTTATTTCGTCTAGCGGGGTAGATTGTTCTAGTTCCACGTACCATGCCTCTTCCGGATGTCTCAGTTATTTCCCTTTAGCAACTCAAATTTCCAAGGTTTTGTTCACCACTGCAATAGCCAGGTGTTGAACTCACAACTCTTTGGGTCAAGTCACTGGATCCTGCCAACGCTTTTTTCGACTGGGCCATCAGTGTATGAATTTTCGTGGCTTATTCATTTCTATGCTTGGCCGGCTTAGGGGATTTTTGTGGATTAGCATATGTGATGATTCCTTAAGTTTTCGTATTTTCCAGTGATGTCCTCTGTCTTTTATTTCAACCTTATCCCACATGTGGCGGTGATCTCCCTTATGTGGTAAGTTACGCCTAATTTTTCTATTTGCCCTCGTGTATGAGAGGAATCATTTATTCAGAGTTTACTGAACAGTCTTCACCTTTCCACCAGCACGGTTGATGCACAAAAACCAGAGATCAACTGGACAAGTTACTGCCTTGACACATATTTCACGGGGAATCTTTGATATTACACATTTTATTCTTCAATGTCTCTAACATTTTTGCTATGATCCTTTATCATACCAGAAGTCACAGAGTGTCAGATCAGAGGAGTGTGGTGGCCATGCCAACGGTTCGCCACGACCTATTGATCGAGACAAACGCGAACAGTACGGACAAAATGAAGCGGTGCACCATTTTGAGGGAAATATTCCGCTCGTCTGATTTGTAGGGGGCATGTTATCAATGGCAAACTCTTGCAGCATTTGTAAGTAAGCATTTGCAGTCACCGTTGGAGTTGCAAAGAAATATGCGCCAATTACACGCTGTGACATCTGGGTATGGTGTATGATAAAGGATCGCGGGTATAGTAAACAGGTTAGACATCGAAGAACTCATGGACAGAATAAAAGGTGTAATATCAAACATTCACCGTGAAATGTGTGTCAAAACACTGAATTGTACTCTGACACCAACAACTCAGATACCAACAACATTCATTAACTTCAAGTGACCTTTATAACGTGTAAAGTCTGAACATTATTATAAATAAAATATCTTTGTCTTTATTATTGTTAAGTCTATAGTTAAACATTGCCATGTTTATACTTGACGCTATTTGCAAACATTGCAGATAGACCTGAGTCTGCTAGTCAATTTTAGTCATATTTATACACAATTCTGCATTTAATCCTTTGTATGGCTTATACTTGAATCTATAGATAAATGTTGGACGAGTTGATTCTATAGGTTTATACTTGAGTCTATATATAAATACTGAACGGGTTTATTGTTGAATCTATAGGTAGATAGTGTCGAATTTATACGTAAGTCTAAAGGTAAACATTGTTGGATTTGTATTTGAGTTTATAACAGTAGATAACAGCTCAGATTGAGGAATCGGAGAGCCGAGTTCGAATTCCAGTCGAATCCATTACATTCACTTACGTGCCTTGGGAAAGGTATTAATCCTCTTCTTCTCTCTCCAGCTATGGGTAAATAGCAGGATAGACGGGTTTCTACAGCCTTGGATGGCAGCTAGACTAGGAGAAGGACAACACTGAATTCAAAACCTGCGGAGGGTCATTTAGGGACCTTGTGGCACGTAGTGCACTAGGTCTCTGTATTAGGCCCTTTAAAAAGTGTGGTTGGTTCCGCACAAAGCCTTTACCACTCTAATCTAATCATATGTGCTGGTGTCTGTCTGTCGGTTCCTAGGAACTGAGCTGCTTGACCCTCATACGTCGAATATGACGGGAGAGTCCGCCATAGGAATATTGACCGGTTTTAAATTTCAGTCGATGAGTAAACATATTTGTCTGGGTTATATTTGCATCTATGCATAAATATTGGATTAGTTTATACGTGATTCTATAGGCAAACATTGTCGGCTTTATACTTGGGTCTATGTATAAATATTGGACGGGATTAGATTTGTGTCTATAGGTAAAAATTGTCAGGATTATGCGTAATTCTACGATTAAACATTGTCGGGCTCATACTAGAGTCTATATATGGCCGGTTTTATACTACAGTCGGTAATTAAGCATTTGACTGGTTAATATTTAGTCTAGAGACAAATATTGGGTGATTTTATACTTGATTATATAGTTAAATATTGTCGGGTTTATACCTAAGACAGTCCGTAAATATTACTGGGTTTATATATATATATATATATATATATATATATATATATATATATATTGACCGGCTTCTTACTTCAGTCTGTAAATATGACCAATGTTTAACATTGTAAACTTTTTAGATTTTAAACTCTAGCTTATATGTGAATGTTAGCCGTGTATATATTTGATTCCCTAAGCTTCTACCTGGCAGTTGGTTCATTTCTTGACTTTGTCGCCGCCCCCTCCCTTAAGATTCTCGTTGACAGTGCCAAAATCAACAGCAAATTTCTAAAAAAACTCTATCGTTCGTAAAAAAAATAATAAAAAAAAATATTTAAAAAAATGAAATACACATTCTCCGTTTGTTAAGCGAGAGAGATGAGAGTGAAAAGACAGAGAAGAGACAGAGTGAGAGAAGTGAGGGAGACTGAGAAAGAGAGAGAAGAGATAGAGAAGTGAGAGAAAAAGAGAGAGGAGAGTTAGAAGTGAGAGTAAGTGAGAGAGAAAAGACAAAGTGAAAGAGAAGTAAGAGAGAGAGAAGCGAAAGAAAAAAGAGAGACGAGAGAAAGTGGGAGAGAGAAAAGACAGAGTGAGAGAGAAGTAAGAGAGAGAGAGAAGATTGAAAGAAGAGAGGTTGAGAGAGAGAGAAGTGAGAGAAGAGACACAGAAGAGGCAGAGTGAAAGAGAAGAGAGGGAGAAGCGAGAAAGACAGAGAAGCGAGAGAGAAGCGAGAGAGAAGAGAGAGAGAGAGAAAGAGACCATAGAGAGAAGCAAAAGAGAGAAGAGACAGAGAAGTGAAAGAGAGTGTGAGAGAGAAGAGTGAGGGAAGAGAGAGTGAGAGAGAGAGAAGAGACGCGGAAGAGACAGAGTGAGAGAGATGAGAGAGAAGTGAGAGAGAGGGGGAGAGAGAAAAACGAAGAACACGAGAAAGAAGAAAATATAAAAGGACAACGAAGAAGAAGATGAAGAAGGAGAAAGAAAATCTTTAGTAGTAGTAGAAGTATCGTTAGTAGTCAAAGAATTATTACAGAGCGAAAGTAGAAATAACGAGAGATTAAAGAAACTAAGCCTCCCTGCAACAAAAAAAAAATCTATAAATCTGTCTAAAGCGAGGTTAGATTAGGTGAAAAAAATAAAATAAAATAAAAACTGAGAAGGACAAGCAAAATAAATCGCAATAAAAACAGTCTAATAAGAGCACAGAAGTCCCTAAGTTACGACAAGCCAGCGCGATTAAAAGCAATTTATTGCAAACGAAATCCGCCATTTGTCAGGATATCAATGACGTTCTTCCGTTTCCGGTCTTTGGCTGATTGGAAAATGGCTTCAACGCTGACAACTACCGACACAGTCCTGATGCCAAATTGCTGAGCAGTCTCCGAAACAGAACTTGTTGTGGGTAGGGAGTAAATGGTAATATTGGCTTACAGGTTGTCACTTCTTTTGGTTCGGAGCAACAAGTCTCTTTAAGCACTTGACAGAAGGATAGAAACACGTCCGATTTAACTGCCTTTCACG